AGAGTGTCTGTCGATTGAGTCGAGTGTCGAGAGTGTCTGTCGATTGAGTCGAGTGTCGAGAGTGTCTGTCGATTGAGTCGAGTGTCGAGAGTGTCTGTCGATTGAGTCGAGTGTCGAGAGTGTCTGTCGATTGAGTCGAGTGTCGAGAGTGTCTGTCGATTGAGTCGAGAGTGTCGAGAGTGTCTGTCGATTGAGTCGAGTGTCGAGAGTGTCTGTCGATTGAGTCGAGTGTCGAGAGTCTGTCGATTGAGTCGAGTGTCGAGAGTCTGTCGATTGAGTCGAGTGTCGAGAGTGTCTGTCGATTGAGTCGAGTGTCGAGAGTCTGTCGATTGAGTCGAGTGTCGAGAGTGTCTGTCGATTGAGTCGAGTGTCGAGAGTGTCTGTCGATTGAGTCGAGTGTCGAGAGTGTCTGTCGATTGAGTCGAGTGTCGAGCGTGTCTGTCGATTGAGTCGAGTGTCAATGTCAATGTCAATGTCACATTTATTTATATAGCACATTTCCAAGGCCAAGGCCTACCAAAGTACTTCACAATGAAAACACAAAGATATTATTCACAGACTGATACAATAAAAACACAATAAAATAACAAATGCTAAAAATAAAAGTACACATAGAATATAACATTCATCAAGGCAGCTCCCCTGTGCCAAAAGCTACTTCAAACAAATGAGTCTTCAGCAATGATTTAAAAGTGGACAAGCTACTAGCAGTCCGCACAGCTACAGGCAGTGAGTTCCAGAGAGTTGGACCTGCCACTGAAAAAGCTCGATCACCACTGGATCTCCGTTTCGATCTAGGAACCTCCAGGACCATCAGACTGGCTGAACGAAGGTCTCTGGAGGGCCTATGCAACGTGACAAGGTCTGTAAGGTACTCTGGGGCTAACCCATTGATACATTTAAAAACAAATAGAATAACCTTAAAATCAATCCGATACTTTACTGGAAGCCAGTGAAGGGATGAGAGCACTGGAGTAATGTGCTCCCGCTTCTTCCTGCCACTTAAAAGACGAGCTGCTGCATTCTGTACAAGCTGCAGACGATAAAGCTCAGACTTCCCAATGCCTGTATACAAGGAGTTACAGTAATCCAGGCGTGAGGTAATAAAAGCATGAATGACTTTTTCTAGGTCAGCCTGTCTCAGATACGGTTTGACTTTAGCTATCAGTCTAAGCTGAAAAAAGCTAGCCTTAACCACAGCACTGACCTGCTTATCCAGTTTAAAAGCACTATCAACAATCACTCCAAGATTCCTGGCATGGGATCTTAAGTGAGGTGCTAGTTGGCCAAGGGCACTGGTAAGAACCTGAACCAACTCTGGACGACCAAACAAGACAACCTCCGTTTTATTCTCATTAAGTTTTAAAAAGTTTAGGTCCATCCATTTCTTAATATCGCTCATGCAGTTTATCACGGCCTGCAAAGATTCTTTAGCTGGAACCTTTAGTGGAAGATACACCTGCACATCATCAGCGAAGCAGTGGAAGGAGATGCCATGCTTCCTGAAAATTAATCCCAATGGTAGCATATACAGGGTAAATAGGAGTGGACCCAGAACTGACCCCTGCGGTACCCCACAGGTCAGAGGGGCCACTGAGGATGAAAACTGTCCCATTTGTACTGAGATTGATCTGTCTGTTAAGTACGACTCAAACCACTTTAGGACAGTGCCTTTTAAGCCAACACAGTGCTCTAAGCGCCACAGAAGAATTTTATGATCAACTGTGTCGAAGGCTGCAGTCAAATCAAGCAGAATTAAAATGGCACAGTTGCCAGTATCAAGGTGTAAGAACAGATCATTAAAAACTTTTAATAGAGCAGTCTCAGTACTGTGACGAGACCTAAAACCAGACTGAAACTGTTCGTAAACATCCGCTGTTTTTAAAAATTCTTGGACCTGCATTAACACAACTCTTTCCAAAACCTTTGAAATAAAAGGGAGCTTAGAAATGGGTCTAAAATTAGATAAAACCATAGGGTCTAAGTTCTTCTTCTTCAGGAGAGGCTGAACTATGGCATGTTTAAAAGAAGATGGAACGCAGCCAGAACTAAGACACAAATTAATAAATTTCAAAATAAAAGACTCCACTGAACAGAAGACCTCCTTAAACAGACATGATGGAATACTATCCGTTTGACAGTTAGCAGGGCGTAAATGTGCAACTATCTCATTCAGTTCAGTAGGGGTGACCGGTTCAAAGCTGTCAAAGACAGCTGTGCTTGCTATAGGAGCTGAGGGGACCTGAGCAGACCGAGATAGTGGGATTCTAATAGCAGAGATCTTGTCTGTAAAAAACTGCAGAAAAGCCTCACACAAACTAGAAGAAGGCTCTAAACAGACAGCATCACCACAGTTCACCAGTGAATCAAATACATTAAAAAGAACCTGAGGCTTATGAGCATTTTTTGACACCAGTGAGGAGAAATAATCAATTTTTGCAGTTTTTACAGCCTGCTGATAATTAATAAGACTGTCTTGAAGGAGTTCCCTAGAAATTTGAAGATTGTCCTTTTTCCATTTTCTCTACGCCTGTCTACATGTGCGCCTGAGCGTACGAGTGGACTCATTCAGCCAGGGCTCCTTCTGAGGCTTTATGCGCTTTAAAGTCATGGGTGCAATCGAATCTAAAATCTTAGTACAGAAAGAATCAAACATTGCTATGCATTCATCCACACTGCGGTCATTAAGATCATCCAAAGAATATAAAAAAGAGTCTTTAAAAATAGCACAAAACAACTGTGGAGTTCCAGAATTAAAAACACGAAGACGGCGCAGAGGAGCTGCGCTTAGAGAGGGAGCAGGCACAGAGATGGAAAATAAAACAGGTAAATGGTCAGATAAAAGTGTGTGGCCGATCTCAGTTATCTGTATGTCCAGCCCATATGACAGCACAAGATCCAAAATATGACCCTTTTCATGCGTGGGCTCCCGAACAGACTGCATAAGGTTGAAAGAGTCAATTACATTCATAAAGTCTTTGACCAGAGGTCTGTTCTCACAACACACATGTATATTGAAATCGCCAACAACCAAAAAGTGGTCATATTTAAGAGTAACACCCGATACAAAGTCTGCAAAGTCCCGAACAAAGTCTTTGTTGAATTTTGGTGGCCGATAGACCACCGCACAGAGAAAAGTTTCCGAAAGCTTTACCTCAAAGAGTTGCAGCTCAAAGCTGGAGTAGCCTGCAGTTGAAGATTGTTGACAGCAAAAAGTAGATTTAAAAATGGATGTCAGTCCTCCACCTTTACCGGTAATACGAGGGGAGTTAAAATAATTGCATCCAGGGGGAAGAAGCTCCGATAAAGGAGTAAGATCACCTTCACGCAGCCAGGTTTCCGTCAGGAACACTCTCGTGTCGAGAGTGTCTGTCGATTGAGTCAAGTGTCGAGAGTGTCTGTCGATTGAGTCGAGTGTCGAGCGTGTCTGTCGATTGAGTCGAGTGTCGAGAGTCTGTCGATTGAGTCAAGTGTCGAGAGTGTCTGTCGATTGAGTCGAGTGTCGAGAGTGTCTGTCGATTGAGTCGAGTGTCGAGAGTGTCTGTCGATTGAGTCGAGTGTCGAGAGTCTGTCGATTGAGTCGAGTGTCGAGCGTGTCTGTCGATTGAGTCGAGAGTGTCGAGAGTCTGTCGATTGAGTCGAGTGTCTAGAGTGTCTGTCGATTGAGTCGAGTGTCGAGCGTGTCTGTCGATTGAGTCGAGTGTCGAGCGTGTCTGTCGATTGAGTCGAGAGTGTCGAGAGTCTGTCGATTGAGTCGAGTGTCTAGAGTGTCTGTCGATTGAGTCGAGTGTCGAGCGTGTCTGTCGATTGAGTCGAGTGTCGAGCGTGTCTGTCGATTGAGTCGAGTGTCGAGAGTCTGTCGATTGAGTCGAGTGTCGAGCGTGTCTGTCGATTGAGTCGAGTGTCGAGCGTGTCTGTCGATTGAGTCGAGTGTCGAGCGTGTCTGTCGATTGAGTCGAGTGTCGAGCGTGTCTGTCGATTGAGTCGAGTGTCGAGAGTCTGTCGATTGAGTCGAGTGTCGAGCGTGTCTGTCGATTGAGTCGAGTGTCTAGAGTGTCTGTCGATTGAGTCGAGTGTCGAGCGTGTCTGTCGATTGAGTCGAGTGTCGAGCGTGTCTGTCGATTGAGTCGAGTGTCGAGAGTGTCTGTCGATTGAGTCGAGTGTCGAGAGTGTCTGTCGATTGAGTCGAGTGTCGAGCGTGTCTGTCGATTGAGTCGAGTGTCGAGCGTGTCTGTCGATTGAGTCGAGTGTCGAGCGTGTCTGTCGATTGAGTCGAGTGTCGAGAGTGTCTGTCGATTGAGTCGAGTGTCGAGCGTGTCTGTCGATTGAGTCGAGTGTCGAGCGTGTCTGTCGATTGAGTCGAGTGTCGAGAGTCTGTCGAATGAGTCGAGTGTCGAGCGTGTCTGTCGATTGAGTCGAGTGTCGAGAGTGTCTGTCGATTGAGTCGAGTGTCGAGCGTGTCTGTCGATTGAGTCGAGTGTCGAGAGTGTCTGTCGATTGAGTCGAGTGTCGAGAGTGTCTGTCGATTGAGTCGAGTGTCGAGAGTGTCTGTCGATTGAGTCGAGTGTCGAGCGTGTCTGTCGATTGAGTCGAGTGTCGAGCGTGTCTGTCGATTGAGTCGAGTGTCGAGAGTGTCTGTCGATTGAGTCGAGTGTCGAGAGTTGAGCGTGTCTGTCGATTGAGTCGAGTGTCGAGAGTGTCTGTCGATTGAGTCGAGTGTCGAGAGTCTGTCGATTGAGTCGAGTGTCGAGAGTGTCTGTCGATTGAGTCGAGTGTCGAGAGTCTGTCGATTGAGTCGAGTGTCGAGCGTTTCTATCGATTGAGTCGAGTGTCGAGCGTGTCTGTCGATTGAGTCGAGTGTCGAGAGTGTCTGTCGATTGAGTCGAGTGTCGAGTGTGTCTGTCGATTGAGTCGAGAGTGTTAAGCGTGTCTGTCGATTGAGTCGAGAGTGTTTGAGCGTGTCTCGAGCGACTTTCGAGAGTATCAAGTGTGTGACTGACCCGGATCCTCTTGACCATGAAGCTGATGTTGCGGATGCCCATGAAGTCTGTGCCCTGGTAGATGGCGTCAATGGCCTTCACATGACTGGAGATCTGAGGAGACACACAGAACATCTTCATCATCCTCATCATCATCACCCTCTTCATCTCTCTGGTCAGACCCGCTGTACCTGAGCAATGACGGCCTCTCTGGTCTTGTAGTATTTAAAGAACAGGTGATCGGTCTGGATGAAGAGCTGGCAGGTGTTCTTCTCCACCTGAGTCATCCTCTTCTTCCTCAGTAACGCCTGATCCTGCGCTGACGACTTCTCCTGCAGAGACAGAGTCAAGTCACCTTCATTTATACAGCGCTTTTAACAATATGGATAGTTTCACAGCAGCTTTACAGTGATAATAGGAAATTAAAGTAACAGAGATTGTTAGGCTTTACAGCAGCTCTAGAATAAAGTTATTGTCCAGATAAAGTTAGTTTTGATTGATTCAATTCCGTTGCAAAGATCATTAGTTATTAACTTAGGGGCCGCTAACACGACACCGCTCTAACAGAAAACAGAAACATTTAATGTGTTCTGGCCGTTCATTTGCACAACAGTGTTTGGTGCTCGAGAATGCAAATTGAAACATTTTGGGAAACGTAATCATCTCCGCGTAAACTTCAAAAACATGAATCTGTGAGGATGAGAGCGCTTAAGAGTGTGTCCTCTGCAGTTTCAGCTCTCGAGGGTCTGACCTTCAGCGGATCCTCCTGGTATCTCTTCATCCGCTCAAACACTGATGAATCCGCACAGCCGCCCTCCGGCCCGTATTTATGAGGATAATCTGACAGACACACAGATCAGCACATTATCATTAGCTAAACACATCCATGAGTACAGCTGAGAACTCATCAAGTTAAGGGTCATGTGACCGCTGAATGCACAATCGACCAATCAGAATCAAGCATTGCAGAGAGAGGTGTAATCAACAGGAGTTAAGGGGCTGTTTTAGGGGACAAAGTTATCACTATAAAAAAACAAGAGTACTGTTGGTCGGTTGAGGTTTTAACGTCAAGGCAATTTCCATGGCTTGACGTTCCATGGAGACATTAAAAAAACCTATAGTTCGGTCAGGACCACTATCGTCAAATACAATTGACAATTAGCATACAGTTTGTATTGGCGGTATGGTTCCGTTATGGGCGAGAACTCCCTGCGCAGCCTAGCATGGATAAGAGCAGCAACAACCCCCGTTAGGGTAAACAGAACAGAAGCAACATTAATGTATGCAGCAGATATCATTAATTCAAGATTTTAAAGTACAACATAATTCGAGAATTTATTCTGATTCAAGGGAAATCAGAATGCCAAATCCTGACTTGGCGCGAAGAGGAGCTGGGGAGGGAGGAGGGTAATCAGCTCCTGAGAAACGAGAGGAGCTGGGGAGGGAGGAGGGTAATCAGCTCCTGAGAAACGAGAGGAGCTGGGGAGGGAGGAGGGTAATCAGCTCCTGAGAAACGAGAGGAGCCGGGGAGGGAGGAGGGTAATCCGCTCCTGAGAAAAAAATGAGCCGGGGAGGGAGGTGGGTAATCAGCTCCTGAAAAAACGAGAGGAGCTGGGGAGGGAGGAGGGTAATCAGCTCCTGAGAAACTAGAGGAGCCGGGGAGGGAGGAGGGTAATCAGCTCCTGAGAAACGAGAGGAGCCGGGGAGGGAGGAGGGTAATCAGCTCCTGAGAAACGAGAGGAGCCGGGGAGGGAGGAGGGTAATCAGCTCCTGAAAAACGAGAGGAGCTGGGGAGGGAGGAGGGTAATCAGCTCCTGAGAAACTAGAGGAGCCGGGGAGGGAGGAGGGTAATCAGCTCCTGAGAAACGAGAGGAGCTGGGGAGGGAGGAGGGTAATCAGCTCCTGAGAAACGAGAGGAGCTGGGGATGGAGGAGGGTAATCAGCTCCTGAGAAACGAGAGGAGCTGGGGAGGGAGGAGGGTAATCAGCTCCTGAGAAACGAGAGGAGCCGGGGAGGGAGGAGGGTAATCCGCTCCTGAGAAAAAAATGAGCCGGGGAGGGAGGTGGATAATCAGCTCCTGAAAAACGAGAGGAGCTGGGGAGGGAGGAGGGTAATCAGCTCCTGAGAAACGAGAGGAGCTGGGGATGGAGGAGGGTAATCAGCTCCTGAGAAACGAGAGGAGCCGGGGAGGGAGGAGGGTAATCAGCTCCTGAGAAACGAGAGGAGCTGGGGAGGGAGGAGGGTAATCAGCTCCTGAGAAACGAGAGGAGCTGGGGAGGGAGGAGGGTAATCAGCTCCTG